CGTATTCACCCCCGCTGCAAGATGCGAGCCAAGCCTCCTCGGTGGCTACCCGATGACGGCCAATGCCATCTGAGCGCAGAGCTCCACAAAGCTGGGGAAGACGGCGAGCTCAGTCCCCATTGGCAGTGTTGTTGACTCGAACAACGCTTGCAGACAGGCACACCATCTCGCAAGCTCGCAGCTGCCATGCCGGGTCTCTGGTGTGACGATTTGTTTGCATTTCTCCGTGGTGTGCACCAAAAGCACCTAATATTTTGTGACATGTAGATATGTCCCAAGTTTGCAGTGGTGTTAAGTTGTGTTACTCGCTGTATAAGACGCAACCTACCATTCCACCATCGCGGTTCAGGATACGTCAAAACTTCCCGTGCAACATGCCACTATTGGACAGTATTGCGAAGTCGACCACGAATCAATCATCACCATCGTTGCCTTGAGGTCTACCCTGAGCGGGAGAACACGAAGACAACCTACTCATGAAAGGCGCGTTCATGCATGCATCATGAGCAAGATCTGATCCGTTAGTAGAGCAACTACTAAAAGGCACACGATCAAAGGCGGCAACTCTTGCGTATCTCAAAGTCGTTTCATGAGAGGATAGAAAGTCCGGTTGTGGATTGTACTCTTCGAAGTAAATTCGAGATTGGTCGCGTCTCACCGAGAGTTGTTGAGGAACACCACGCTTCATGCCACTGGTTCCACCTTAAATAGGCTGACTCTTTGCTCTGCCGGAGTGGACTAGGGAAGCCACTGAGAATCCTCGGGCAGCTCATCATCTATGACAGAAGCAAGTCTCAGCAGCGCAGCCTCAAGACCAAGACACAGTTGACATTCCTAAGAAAAACCCATTGTGTGCTTCCTTGTCCTCTTCCGTGGCACCGTGGTTGCAAGTCTTGCTACTTACCCAGGGTGATCCTGCTCTAAGCCTCCCCCTTCCAACAAATCAACGTCTTGCCCCTCACATGACATTGAACTCAAAGTTCAAGGACACCCATCTCTAAACCAAAACACCATCGCACGACATTCCATCCCTTACAGGCTCATCAATCAAACAAAAAAAAAAACACGCAAAAAGCAAAAGAGGGAGCGCCGAAACTGTCAACTCTCATAATATGCCAGCACTGTGGATCGAACACAGGATCCCCGCATTACAAGTGCGATGCCTTACCACTTGGCCATGCTGGCGGGTTATGCGATGCATCGGCCAAGTCGTACGAGCCATTATGATTCACGCCAGCCCTCATGGCAGCCCTTCGGTGGGTCATCGCATCTGACCTCACCTCGTCGTCTGTGTTCATATTAAAAAACAGGTCTTTCTTTGCTCTCACTTCTTCATCTCCTGGTTTTAAATCTGTCTACGTGAATTTGTGCTTTCTCGACTGCTGGCTTCCCTATGTTTCGTCTGAGACTACCTGCTTACTTGAACTCGGAGCTCATTCATCTAATTGCCCTAGTGTTAGCCTCACCTCACAGCCTAATTTCCATCTCAAGAGTAAAGCCTAGCTTTACATTGACCTACTAAGAAGGTCTAGAAATATTCCCAACTCGTATATGGCAATCTCTAACGCCCAAAATTTTCCTGGAAATGAAATCAACCGGCAGTTGTGTTTGTCAAGTTAAGTATGGTCGTGACGCAATTCACTCTGTAGACCAGGCTCATACAGTATAGCGTGCTATCATAACTTATTCTTCCGAATTGATTGCTGTAGATGAGCTCAATTTCAATCATCATTACGAGAAACACCATGGGCAGGTTTGAGTATGAACAGCGAGCCGAAGCCCGAGTATATTGAGAAAACTAGCCATTAAAATACCGATAAGGTTTCACCATCTAAAGAGTGGAAAGTTGCCGCCAATGCCTTTTTAACTAAAAAATCAAGCTCCCCATCTACCACATCTACTCGTGAGCATCATCCCCGAGAGAGCGTACCAGGTAAACCCCTTAGTAGCCGGTGCCGAAGGAACCGCACTTGCTGGCCGCATAGGAGTTGCGGTTCTCAGAAAGGCAGTCGGTGTACTGAACAGTGCACTTGTTGATGGCGACGCTGAAGTTGTCCGAGAAGAACCAGCGCTTGGCGAAGTCGGGAGCGCGGGCGTAGACGGCAGCATCGTCGCGGCGGCCGCGGCGGTTGTTGTAGGTCTTGCAGCCCTGGGCGTAGGTGTTCTGGCACGCGTTGTACTGCTCCTTGCAGGCTTCCTGGCAGACGCTGGGGACGCTGCCGCGGCCAAAGGACTTGCAGAGCTTGGAGTCGGCCTGGAGGTAGAACTTGAACTGGTTGCCGGCCTGGAAGTCGACGGCAATGTCGTTGCAGGTGACGATAGGGATCTCGATGCCACCGACGGGGTTGCCAGGGCCGTATCCGAACCACCAGCTGGAAGGCTGCTTGCAGACACCAGTAGGAGGAGGGGGCACAACGGTGGTGACCGGGGTAGAGGTCGTGGTGGGCTTGGAGGGGCAAGGGAATGTAGACACGGAGGTAGTGCCAGGCTTGTAACCCTTGGGAACCTTCTTGGCGAAGCAGTCCTTCTTGGAGCAGGATCCCTTACCCTTGCAAGAGCTGGAGCAGTAGCTGCTGACGTCGCTGCACCAGGCCTTGAAGTCCATGCAGCTAGCAGAGCCGGGCCATCCAGCGTTCTTCAAGCAAGCACTGACCTGAAGCTTGCAGCTGTTGTGGGCCTTGGTGCAGCTGTCGTTGTCGTCAAAGTCGGGGAGGTTCTTGTTGCACCAGCTGCCGCAGCCGTACTCGCAAGTGGCGGGAGTGACAATGGTGGTGGTGCAGACAGCGGGAGCAGTGGTGGTGGGGATGGTCGTGGAAGGCTTAGATGTGGTGACGGGAGGCTGAGAAGTGGTCACAGGAGCGGTGGTGGTTGAAGGAGGGGCCTGGGTAGAGACAGTGGTGGAAGGAGGAGCTTGGGTAGACACAGTGGTGGATGTGACCAGAGTAGAGCTCGTGGTGGAGGTGGACGGAGGGATGCTGATGGACGGGATGGTGGCCGAGGTGCTGATGGAGATCGTGGAAGAAGACGAGACCGAGTTGACGGGGGGGACGTAGCCGCAGGGCTCGAGGGACTTCAGCTTGCTGGCGACGTAGATCTCCATGACGGCAGAGCCACCGCAGTTCTTGGTACTGTCGCCGTTGCAAGGCTTGTTGCACTTGTCCATGGTAGTGGCAGTTGTGTAGTTGCCCATCACGACACCGCAGTAGCACTCGCCGCCGTACTCGACACCGGCAAAGGCGTATCCCTCGCTGGCACAAGCGGAGAGACAGGTCGAGGGAGTCATGGTGGCAGAGTCAACAGAGTCCTGGCGCTCAGCAATGGTGCGGCCATGGTTGGTGTCGTCGGTGTAGCAGCCAATGGAGGTGTAGTCTTCGACGGTGGCACCGCCAGAGGGGAACGTGGGATCTTGATAGACAGAGAAAGCCGCGGGGCCACCGCAGATCTCGGAGCTGTTGCCAGTGCACTTGTAGCTGCAAGTAGACTCTTCGAGGGCAGGACTGTTGATGGTCGCGCTGCAGTAGCAGACACCGTAGTATGTGAGACCAGCGTAGCGGTAACCATTACCTGTCATCGTGTTAGGTTCTTACGTCAAATGTAAAGCTTGGCCAGGACGGCTTACCCTTGCAGGCGTCCACACATGTCTCGATGGTCATGTTCTGTTGGTTGAGACCGGAGCGGAAGTCGAGGGCATTCTCGTTCTTGGTACCCTTCTCCTGGAAGCAGCCCTGGTAGGTGAAGGGCTGGAATTCATCGAGGCAAGGCGGCAACTCAGTAGTGGTCGCGGTGACCTGGTTAAAGAGGGTGGCAGCTGCGAGAGCAGCCAGGGCCCGAATGATGGGAGCCATTATAAACGATGGTGAGTATTAGTTATTAGAACGAGTGTAGTACCTCTTTGCAAGAAACGAGTGTGCAAGAGTGAGTGAATGCTTTCCCGGATTGGGTTGTGAGTGATGAGTTGGAACAGAGACCAGGATGAGAGGCATCGAGGCCCATCATATATAGTGAAATTCAATCATATCGGGAGCTCACGATTGACAGACACCCCGGCCGGCAGAGTGACAATCAGGGGAACAACCTCAACGGGTGATGCGAGTAGCGGCCGATAGAGTGGTGTCAGGTCGGACGGGGGCAGAGCGCCACGACTAGAGCGTTAGTGCGATATCTAGAGCAAAGCATGGAAGATACCCAGAGTGAACGGTGCCTTGGCAGTCATTGTATGGAACTGTTGGTTTGCATACAGTGATACACGTCTTTCACGGAAGCCACGGTGACGGGACGGCCACATCGAGGTAGTAGTGCCAGGTACTGAGAAGCTAGAATAGACTCGGCAAGGTGACAGAAGTGGGCGGCGGCGCGAAGGGAAGAGGGATACAAGTTTAGACAGCAACGTTAGGGGCGGCGGTCGGTGTGTCCTCACCTGCGCCAGTAGTCAGCTCTACGGACCCAAGTCGGCGAATGCCATGCTTCTTTGGGTCAAGAGGCAAGGGCCGAGATGCTCTGATGTTGGAATACCCGCCCAGTTGGGGCCGGACAGGTGCAAAAAGGCAAAGTCCAGGAGTCCGAGCAAAGGTAACCCACGCCAGAAGTGGAATAGAGTTGAAAAAGTGAAGGAAGAGGCCAGACTCTTTTGGGTCGGCGGAAGTCGTCGGATGACGGTGGGAGGATCCATGGTCCAATGTCAATGTCCATGAGATGGATCATGGATGCACCTCAGTTTCCAGGGCTAAAACACGCAAAGACTAAAACTAAAAAGAGAAGTCGCGAGGAAGGAAACGAAACAAAAACCGGGCAGCCCAAGGCAGGAACCAGGGTGTCTCCAAATCGGGCAGGATGACGGCCCCATACCCGGGGTAAAGACTCGATATCATTGGCTACTGCCAATGTTAAGCTCAGTCGATCCCAGTTCATCCCGTCCGTCAACAGCAGGCAAACAGGGGCAGCCTCACTGACTCTTGTCCGTACCTGCATTAGACCGCTCTCTCCTTGACTGCTAATCTCATCTCTCGCCCTCTTTTCCCTCCCTCTTGTTATTAGGTGCAAAGGTAGAGTCTTTCGAGTCTCGAAGAGTCTCTTGGGCATTTTAACCTTCCACCTTTCCATCTGCCGCTTCCCAAAAGTGCCCTAAACAAGCTTGACCTGACCAGCTTTCTTAGTCGTCAGCATGCTGTCAGATTCAATCTCCTTGGAATCACCAAAATCAAACACACATTAGCCACCGACGTCGAACGTGGCTTTTGGGACATGCTTCATCTTTCATGCAATTTGAATCAGGGGCTTCGGCTTTTGCTTTTGCTAAGAATATCTTTTTGTCATTCAATGGCTTCCAAGAACGACCAACTCAACGCCCAGAAGCCCCCATCGTCGACCGGTCTTCTTGTCCTCACCACAAAGATACCTGACAGAGGCACTGACTCGGGCCGGGTCCTCTCTTCTTCTTCTCTTCTTGTCTCTGCATCCCAGCGGCATCCTAATTCCCAGCTGATGACCGTGGACTGGACCCTCTTCGCAGCGCAAACTCCTAGGCCAACATCGTACCAGCAGTGTTTTGCTCGTGCGTCTAGGCCGGTCGACCTGTCAGGATCCGCACAGTCGCTCGTCGCTCGCTGCTGCGCCCCTCTCAACTATGCATAATGCAGTCGGGTTACAATATTGAAGTCTACCCCGGTTGACTAAAGACATTGACTAGGGCAGCAGGGCCTTGATAGGATCCTCCGTCGGTTTTTGTTGCTTCTGCAGTCAACAACAATTCAGCCGCTGGCACGGTCTCAAAGCACAGGGCAATTGCTGCAGGGCCTCGCAACATGCACCCGCTCGGACAAAATATTGAACATCGATGCAACGTTCCCGCCTTTTACACGAGAACACCAGAACCTCGGACGAAGATCCCGAATCATGTTCTGATATCTGCTCGCGCAAACCTCACACTCCGTGCTTCGTAATCCTTACCCCTTCCAAGGTCTCGGGTCTACGGCATCAGTGCGAATAGACAACGAAATCTCGGACACTTCTGCTGTCGATCGTCTGCGGGGTGGTCTTGAACCAATGTGGTGATGCTTGAGATAGAGGGCCGCAGATCAAGGGCACTCCCGCCAACAAGGGCCTGCTGCCTCCTCTACCTTGCTCGAGTTGCTCATCGCTAGTAAGGCTGTCAGGCCTGCCAACATAACCCGCGCGATGAACGACGAGACACAGACCTCTCATCTGCAGGTGAGCACAGTCGGACCCTCAAATGCAAAGTCTACATGGAATACGAGACAACAGCGAATCCGCAGTGGAAACATCACAGCAGCTTACTTCTCAACGGCCGTATTGCAATACAATACCTTATCGTAAACGATTGATTTTCGTTCTTTTGTTCGAACCCGATATTACATGATTCAGCAAGTTCCCGACCGAAATAAACGACGTCAAATTGATGACGGGTGCACTCTATGAGCTTTGCTATTACTTTCGATACCCTTACGCAGATGCCATGATATTTGCTTTAGGGCCTGAAAACTCTAGATGGGTGTATCCTCTCTTCGACTAGCTGACCAAAAAACCGACAGTGTCTGAACGTTACTAGTGTAAGCGGCCGAGAAAAGTAGCAAATCGTCTATGCCAGTAGCCCAACTCTTCAGACGGACGAGCCCTCGTTCTATCATCTTTCACGGGCAACAGACTGGAACCGCGACACAGAGCTTTCCCGATGCAACGGCTCCTTTGTTCAATCAATAAGCTTATCGACAACCATCTCCGCAGTTCTTACAAGCAAAGGTGTAAGACGTTGGAATGAGAGAGCTGCGCCCCATTCTCCCGTCGACGGCGCCAGCTGAATTGCCAATGCAACTGAACCATGCCCACCTGAGAATATGGGCTAGCGAACCCCCCTTTCCCAAGGGAAGCTAAGCTAAGAAAGCTAGGTTTAGTCTGCTTTTGTCCGACCGCCCATCAACTGAGGATAATGGTTGCTCGGTCGAAAATCAGCGCCCAGCCCAAACGGCTTATCAAGTTCTTCACCAGCGCTGGTCGTCGCCGACGCCACACCGTAGATGCCAAGGCCACCTTTTCGGCTCTCGGTATCGTCTTCGTGTTGGGTCCAAACCCCCGTGATGGCTTCTCGTCAAGTTACTCCACAGACCTTCATCCTCAACTCCACCCTGGGGGCAAAGCTGAACCTCGTATCGACGGGAGACCGACGATTTAGCCCAGGAACCCGCGGCGTCCCGTGGATCTCACAGAATCCTCCGAGATCTCTTCGATGCGAATGCGGAGTCCGGCGCGATGCCGACCTCTCCTGAGTAAAGGTAGGGTAATCACCCCTGACGAGGCTCTGGGCAGATCGTCGGGATCGCCATAATTATCGCTTACCTTACCCCCGAGCGGACTCTTCGGAAGGCCTGGACTTCCATGGTTTAACTAATGCTCTGGATAATTCGGGACTTCCGACCCAGTTGATAACTTTGCAGACGTTCCATGTATTCCCATCTTCCTGTCATCTTGGTTGACTTCCTCGCCCTTTGACTGTTTGGCTTCCACAGCACATATTTCTTTGCACCCATATCGAAGCTGTTTCCTAGTACCACTACTTAAGACATTGCCGGATCTAGGCATCAAGGTTTGGGCCAGGTCTTCAAGTGAAGATTAGGTAGTGTTAGACATACTAGGTAACACACCAATCAAGCTACTATCTGTGCCTGGGTTATACACATGATGATGTCCTGCGGTGTTGACTACCGCTGCGGCGTCTCCTTACCGTAGATGGGTGTTCTTCCACGTCGTTGGCGACGACTCGCTGGGCATCGTGAACATGGTCCGCTGCACGATTGGCAACCTCGACGACACATTGGCAAGCATCACCATGTTGAACAACGTGTATAAGTGCAAAAATAATTGAATTTCAGCCAGGAGCTATGCCAAAAAAGTCATGTCACATTTCACCCCCGTCCTGATCGACGATTAAAGGCTATCTGTTACTTCCATTCTAGCTTGCCCCCTCTGTTAAAGGAGAGGGTCAGAGAAGGAACCATCCTTTCCGGGGGGGCTTCTAGAGTTACATCCTTTTTAAAACAACTTCCTGCCTAACCTAGAACGCCGATGCAGACTTGCAGTGAACCACTTCTTTCATCTCCTCCATCTACTCTCCTTCTCCTCGTTCCCTCACATTTTTCCTTGTCCCTTGCTATATGACTCTGGCTGTGTAGGTAGTCCTTTATCGAGACATGTTTAGGCCTTGTCGCGAAGGTGACGGGGAACCCACTTGCCGGCACCGCCGGAAGCCTTGAGGGGCTCCACCGGCGTGGCAGGCGAGGCGGTCCGGTCGGGGCGGCCGTTCTCACGATCTTCGCGTCCGGAGCCTCCCCGGTTGAGGGGGGCACCGCCACGGTCACCAGAGGTGCGGGGCGGCGGGGGCGTGCTGTCGGACGACGCACCACCACCAGAGGCGGCCTTGGCGGCCTCACGCTCACGCCAGCTGGGCTTGCTGCCGGCGAGGGCGAGACGCGGCGGGCCACCGGCACTGGGGCGGTCGGAGGTCTCTGAACGTTCGGGACGCTCAGAACGCTCAGAAGGACGCTCGTAACGCTCAGAACGCTCGGGGCGCTCGGAACGCTCTGGGCCACGGGACGGGGGAGCGCGGGCAGGGGGCGCGGCGTCGGCGTTGGAGGGGGAGGCAGCGTTGGCGGCCTCACGCTCGCGCCACTTGCCGGCGCCGGGCAGGTTGAGCGGGCGACGACCCTCGGGAACGGAGTCGGTGCCACGCTCGGGAGCGCGGGAAGGCGGTGCCGCCCGCTGGGACTCTCTCTCGGCCTTGCGACGGGCCAAGGCCTCCTCCTCGCGTCTCGCCTGGAGGGCAGCCTTCTCGAGACCCTCCTGGCGCTCCTGTTCGCGCTGCTCCTTGAGACGCTGCATCTCGGCTCTCTTGGCCTCGGCACGTCTCTCCTGCTCCTCCTTCTCCTTGGCGGCACGCTCCTCGGCCTCGCGCAGGACTCTCTCCTGCTCCTCGCGCTCGCGCTTCTCGCGAAGCTTGCGGTCGCGGTACTCCTTCTTGCGAGCGGCGATCTGCTTCTCCAACTCCCTCTCTGCGTCTCTGCGGCGCTTCTCGAACTCGTCGCGGCGGCGCTCGTGGAGGTTGGAGCGGAAGGCCTCGTACTCGGGCATGAGACGGGTGAGGCGGTGCTTCAGCTCGACGCTCTCCTTGTGCTTGATCTCGGCCTCCTTCAGAGTCTGAGCCTTGACGGCCTCGTAGGTCGCCCGGTCCTGTTCCGTCTGCTTCTTGTAGTCCTCGGGCAGCTTCTTGGCCTCCTCCTGTCTGAAGGCACGCTCCAAGTGGTCGATACGCTTCCAGACGATACGGAGCTTCTCAGAGACGTCATTCTTCTCACGCTTAAGCTGCTCCAGCTTGATGGCGTGGATCGCACTGGAGTCGAGGTTCTCCAAGTTGTCCATGTCGATGTCGATTGTCTTGTTGCCGATCTTGAGGTCGGCAATCTGCTTCTTCAGCTCCTCCTTGCGGACGCGGTCACGCTCGGCCTTCATACGCTTCTCTTCACGCTCCTTCTGCTCAGCGGCGAGACGCTTGTCCTCAGCCTCTTGAAGCAGCTGCTCACGAAGACGCTTCTGGCGGGCATTCTCTCTCTCCTTACGAGCCTGAGCCTCAGAGGCCTCCTCCTTGCGCTTGTGGATGACCTCCTTCCTTGCGAGAATGGAGTGGTGCTCCTGTTCCGCACCGGCACGGGCACGTTCCAGAGCGGCTTCTCTGGCGGCAACGAGAGACTGGTTGTAGGTAGGATCAATGTAGAAGCAGGTGGTGTGGAGAGACTTGACGAGGCGGGTAAGCTGGGACCGAACAATCTCAGAGGGGGTGCTCTGGAGACGCTGGACAGAGCTGCCGTCAGCCTCGGCTGAGCCGGCGGTAGATCCAGCGTGAGCAGCCTTGGCGGACGAGAAGACGTCGTTGTCGAAGCTGAGGACGCCGGTGGCGTGGTCCATGCGGATGGCCAGGTCACCCTTCTTGTTGCCGTTCATGATGAACTTCTCGATGGTGCCGCGAGTAACCTGGAAAGGCTCGGGGAACTGAGCAAGCTTCTCAACGAAGGCCAAGTCAACAGTCTCGTACACCTGGGAGAGCTGCTGGAAGAGTCTGGTGAGGATGACCTGCTGCAGAGGCAGGATGTACTTCTCCATCTCGGCATCATCTCCGATCTTGGTGAGAATAGGGGAGATCTTCTGGCAAATGGAGAGAGGGTGGAAGTCGACCTCGAGGATGTTGTAGAGGTCGCGGATCTCAGGACGAGCGCGCTTCAGCATCTGCTTAGCTAGAGCATCACGGAAGAGGCCAGCACGAGTAGGGGCCTGACCCATGCCGAGCAGGTGGGTGAGACGAGCATTCTTGTTCTTGCGGGACTCATCGAAGTCAACCATGGCACCGCGGGAGCGAGTGGTGCTAATGACGGGGATGGCGAGAGCAGACAACAGCACGAAGGAGGCGGCCTTCTGAAGGTCGTTCTCGGTGGCGGGAGGGTTGTCGGCCTTCTTGCCCTGTCCGCTGGCAACGACAGCGGCGGACTGGCGGAGAAGGGTGTAGTATCTGGACCAGGCGGCGGCGTGGAAAAGGTAGTTCTCGCCGACAAGGAAGATACGGGTGAGCTTCTCGTAGTAGTTGGCCATCATGATGTTCTTGGGAGGGCGCTTGCTGAGGTTGAGGAGGGTGTGGATGTCCTCAACGGAACGGAAAGCCTCCTGCCAGAGCTCCAACTCGACAGCAACGTTAAGCTGCTGGAAACGGGTCTCCAGGTGACGCTGCAGGGTGTCGGGGTCGCTGAGGTTGATGGCATGCATCTGTGCCGAGTACTTGGCTGCAGTCTGGACATGGTTGCGGAGCAGCTCGCAGAGTCTGCGGAACTCGGTCTTGCGGGTGTACTTCAGGCAGAAGTCGAAGGCCTGCATGGCAGTGCTCTGGTATAGGATCTCGAGACGGGCATTGTTGCGGAGGATATCGAGCACGGTGCGGTAGGCCTCCCAGAGAAACTTGAGCCACGGGGTGACGATGGCACGGTCGGTACGGTCGCGGGACTGCTCGCCGGAGACAGTGGCGAGGAGGATGGACTCGGGTGTTTCGCTAGCCTCCAGATCGTCGACGTTGGTGGTGGAGGTGTTGGCCTCGATGCTGGACTGGACCTCATCGGCCTTGGCCTGGGCAACGGTAACCTTCTCGGCGGCGAGCTCGATGAACTTCTTGAGAACCAGCTGCACATATCCCTGTTAGCAACGATTGCCCTAACCCATTTCTTCGGCGACGAGACGGCTTACCTCGATGGTACCTATGTTGGTGTTCTGGCTGATGTTCTTGTACTGGTACAGGGCATCCTTGGCCAGCTTTCCCTTCTTCTGTTCGACAGAGAGCTCCACCAACAGGAGCATCACCGGCTCCAGCGACGCGATGGGAACATTTCGGCTTCTCTTCGAGGTGATGTGCTCGTGGAGGAGGGTGAGGGCGGCGGGAACTTGGTTGACGCCGATGAGCTCGTGGGCGCGCTTAAGGACGTTCTCCGGCTTCTGGTGAGGTGGAGGAGGCTATAGCTTATTGTCAGTTCAAAAGTTCGACAACAGCAGCGACAAAGATGACGCCCCGTGATATCAAGGTCGGAGAGGGGTAGCGTCAAATCCAAATGGGAAATTTTTGGGTTGGCGGGCCCAGAGGTTGAGAAAGCAGATGGAAGAACTCACCATGATGGGCAACCTCCTCTGCGGGAAAATAATATTCTCGAGAGGGTCCTTGGTTTGAGGAGTTGCAGCGCAAGCCTGTTCGTGCGAGCGGTATATTGACTTGGCTGTCGCTCGGTGCGTTGGCGTTGATGCTATACACAGCAAAGACGAATTTTTCAATTTCGTGTGTGGCCGCTATGCGAGTCCTGAGGGGCTCCGAGCGTCCGTGCGTTGTGCGAAACGGAGATCACGTGATGGAAGATTATGTCAGCCGAGGCTGACCGACTCACAGAAGGTTTGTCTCCTTCAGGTACCTTCTTCCCGTCCCTCAGTTCAGTACAACCGTCCCGTTCTAAGGCATTGACTGGTGACTGCCTTGATGTAATTGTTGTTGGATGGGTCGAATGAGTGATGGGAACGAGGTCGCCGATTGCACTGTTGAGATGATGTCCAATTCGAGTCAACATTGCGCTTGCCGTTGCGCTAAGTCTCCTCGAAACCTTCCTTCCCTTTACTTAACTTGATAGGTTCCAACCGTGATTTTCAGACCGACTTGCCAGCCTTGTCGGTTTCTAGTCCAAAGCCTCCCCGAACTTTCTTTAATCCCGGATACGGACGGGGACATGTCCCCGTTATGCTCCACCGAGACCGAGGTAAAAGGTGACTTCGCACATTTTTTCCGGGAGAGCGGGAAGATCGAGAATCACCGATCTTGTATCGATTCTCCTCACTTCCAACCTACAGGTACAGGGGACGCATGCATAGTTATACATTATTCAACGGGTAGGGCAGCAGTATAAACTGGCTTCCCCAGACACGCCTATAAGTCATGCGTAAGTATTCGTACGAACGTGTCGGGATTCGGGTGAGCTGGCAAAGAATGGGTGTTGGATAAGGCTAGAAAAGGACCGATATTCATCGGTACATCTCTTATGTATGTTCCCGATATAGAGCATGGCGCTGTGGACGTCTCTCATGAGCGTGTTCTTTCAGCTAGCCCCTCGGCAGCTTTCCGTTCTTTGTCTGGCCGAGGGCGAAGGGTCGTCAGCCCAACTGAAAACGTCATGAGGGAGAGTTCCATGGCACGTCTCGATATGAAAAGCAAAATATTGTTGACACCCTATCATACATACGACGGTCCTCGCGAACGCGTCGTGACATCTATCGGCTTCGGCAGTGAGACGAGCCGGATACAGAGTGCCGCACGATATAATACGGGAGACTTCTGTTAAAGTCGGCAGTGCAGAGTCAAAGTCTGATCGAGATGCCGGGTCTTGGTATGGCACTCGGGCACGGGAAGACTGAAAGGAAGAGGGCAAAAAAAACCAAAGGTTGGGTTCGCCACATCCCGTGATGCCCAAGATATGCAGCTCATTCATCGTCATCAACACCACATGCTGCGACTTGGGGTATCGCGTCTCGTGCTCGTCGTCATGACTGTATCCGTGTTCCATCGGCGCAATCGGGGCGCCGAACAGCTAGGGGAAACCCAAATATGGGAGATTGCCCGCTCCGGCCAATTTCTAACCAATCCCGCCAATGCTAGCCTAGCCTGCCTAGGTACTTGGGGCACCAAATTGGGTCCGTGCGGAGCGTCGCTTCTTTAAATTTTCCCTCTTTCTTGTGAAGTTGCGAGGCGACTGGAACCTCAGCGAACACCCCCGCTGGCGCCGGCTCCAGTCGTCCACCCTTGCCGGCCCGTCCGCTGTCCAATCCAGAAGCCACCCTGATGACTAAGTTGAAGAAGTGGATGTACTTTCTACCGCTTGGAACACATTGTCAGGTACCACACTCTACTGAGAACCTAGGGTGACTTGACCTGCAGCGAGCAGACTGCAGTGCAGCATGCAGCCTGTACAAATGCACAAACATGCACACAAGCACACACACACACAAACCCCAGTCTATCAGTCTGGCAGCAGCTGGCAAATACTCTCGCTTCGCCTCGCTTCATAAAAAACCGCGCGCGGTACTCCGTAAAGCAGATGCAATGCGGCTCGGCACCCTCCAGGGACGGGGTGGTCGTTGCTTCCAAGTTCCATGGCGCACCTGGTGGCCCTAGCGCAAGAAGGTGACCTTGCGTCCATTGACCTTTGACCTTTCCCTTTTTCCTTTCACGTTAGGGGAACCTTTCCCAAGGGCTCCGCAATCCAATCCAATCCCAGCTTGCTTTCTAGTCCCAGTCCCAGCCCGTCTCCCAGTCACTACCTAGGAGTACGTGACTTCCCTCCCGTCCTCTCTCTCTCTCTCTCTCAATTCCCAATTCCCAATTCCCAACTTGACCTGCGGCTTGCCTGCACATAGCACCTACCTACCTACCTTTCCTTCCACTCACTCCCTCCTCCTTCCCCGTCGCTTGTCGCCCGTCGCCCGTCCCGTCCTCTCCTTTGCTTTCCCAAATCCAAACCCATTATCCGAGCAACCAACCTACCCATCTCTGACCAACACCCGTAATCCTCCCCCCCAAATCCAATCACCCCCCGACGCTCTTTCCTTTGTCGATTCGCTTCGATCGAAACCGGCCTCGATTACTTTCTCAATCCCCCCGCGGTTCTCGCTGCTGTGAGTTTTTTCGCCCCCCTACTGACCATTTAAATCCTCCCCATCCCGCTTCCGACCTGAGCTCGTACCACGGGCTGGTGGGAAAACGCGGCAACCACCGCCAAAGCGGAGTCAAAGGAGGGAAACTTTAATCAAACTGACACGATATGCTCTCTCATCAGGAACGTCTTTCTCACAACACCACCACCACCACCTCTCCTAACATCGTCGAATCATCTGCTGCAGACGCTACAGGTTCTTCTTCTCCCACCTCTCGCCAGCGGCAGGATCAGGTCCAACAGCCTCGTTCCGACGACAAACAATCACGACGACAAATCGCCGCCGCTGAACCTTCTGTCGCCGCCGTCGCCTCATCCTCCACGGCACCCTCTTCATCAAAGTCTCCAGCCCCCCGATCCGCGACAGCAATGCCTCAATACACCTCCCGCGATGTCGGCGACCCGTCGCAGATCAAGAAGAACAAGCAGTCGATGGCCGACCTCAAGTTGAGACGATTGACAGAACTCAACAACCGCCTGCGCGAAGACCTTGAAAGGGAACGGATTCCGGTCAGCAATGCTTCTAAGAGGTAGGTCTCGAATCATCAACCGCTATCATCGATGAATATCAATGCGGCCAATCAAGCATTGGATTCATCGCGATCGGGCGAACCAGTGACTAATTCATGTATTTTTTTTGATAGCATCATTGCCTACTGCAACAGCACGAGGGACTACATGGTTCCATCGGTTTGGGGCGCTGTCCCCCGCGGCGAAGACCCCTATGCACCACAACAAAGCGGCGGATGCTGCTTGGTGATGTAGAGCAACGTATATCATGGGTTAGCGATGTTGATATCGGAGCAGTCGATATGCTCCGATCGGATTGTTATTTTTCTATTTTACGCGTGGAATACCAAGACCCCCGAGGGCCATCGGGAATGCAGCAACCTTCCGGAAACAGCGAACGACCACCTCTTCTCGAAGAACCGGAAAAGAAAATTAAGACATATGTTCATTATTCTTTTATGCGGTCGTGGAATCATCGGGATCCCAAAAAAGTCCTGGACCAGCGCGGAGTCGAAGTGGAAAAGCAAACAAAAGTTCCCTGGGGTTAGGAAGAGTTTAAGGGGTTCTACGATGCCGGCCAAACGACAGGTACCTTTGTCCCCTTTGACGGATCAAAACGAAAAGCCACGGACAGCGACACGGGTTAGTAATACTTTTGTGAGAGAGAGAGAGAGAGAGAGAGAGAGAGAAGCGAGCAAGCTCAGTGGATGAGGTGGGCGAGAGGAAGCGAGGGGAGATGCTCGAGAGTGAAGAGGCAACGGACCCCGCTACGATAATGCTTCTATGTTGTTCTTTTTCTGTTGTTATTGGGAGGTTGTCGTCGGGGAGGCAGGGCTTTTTGGCGGGCAGCTCTTCAGCATGTAATAATTCTCTTGATGTCCTGTACTCTTTTTCCTTCTCTCGGGTCTCCCCCTTTTCCACTATATTCCGCACCGAGTGTGTGAATAGCTTCAATCCATCAATTCCCTGGTCTCCCCGAAAAACAAAATAACAACTTGAATAACTATCTCACGGTCGCGTGTTGTTGAGGTCAGGGGTGTTTGGTGCCGTGCAGCTGATCGATCGCTGGGGGGATACGGGTAGGCGGCGGCAATCATTTACAACAATTCGATTAACGATTCAATCAAAGAAAATGGTGCGCATGCTACGGATACCAGAAGCCTGGAGAGGGGGGTTTCACAGGAGGGCAGATCACCAAAACCCTCCTCAAGCCTGCATCGCGCGCCCCCCGTGGAGCCACGAAATCACCCGCATCTGCGATGGTTCCATATCAGTTCATTTCGGCCAACCAATGGCCGCATTGGCGGTACCCCGGGGCAGCCAATCCAATTCGGGTGAGATGAACGGGACAGAGATAGACAGAGCGAACGTGACCTTAGGAATAGGAACGAACTCCCGTGACCTGAAGTAGATTTCCGCATCGCATCTCCGAAACGATTGAAGCCGATCGCGTACGGAGTACACCTAAGCTAAAGTTGACCCGGAGGCGTGGAAGTGAGGCAGGGGAGACGAGAGACATTACGGATACAACCAGCCAGTCCACATCAGGCCACTTATCTAGAGAGACCTCCCAGACCTCTGGGGGAAAAAGCAATGAGGAATTGAAAACGGGAATGGGGGACAAGCTTTTTCGTGTGGCATTTTTACTCCCCCCTCCTCGCCTTGTCGTCTTTCTGGGGGCAGATGAGCGGGTGCCACTTCAGGTCACAGGTGAGAGCAGGAATCTGAGACATATGCAGCGTCCCTTTTTTTTCTTGTCCTCACTTGCGCTGGGCCACTGGCGGCCTGGCACTTCTTCCTCTCACTGTGAATAAAGCCAGTTTTATCCATGCCCCTGGACGGTAGGACCGTTCGGCGCCGACGAGAGCTGCTGTGCCGTGCCTGGCTTGGGGATTGAATCGATTCATCAATGGCATGCCGATGGGGTTAACGCGCCCGCTGTTCGAAGCCGAAAAGAGCTGCAATTTCATTTCCCGAGGATTACATCGGGCCTGTCAACTCATCTTTTTTCTCTTCGGCTACCGGGGGGGATTAAAAAAGTGGTGGACCTGTTCGGTTTCTTTGGACCACCGGCGAGCCACTATTGCCAATTGGAGTTCTTGTATCCGTAGCCCGTAGTACTGTACTCTCCGTACGACGCTCGATAAAACGCTGGTACTTCGTATAATGAGGTTCAATGTTCTAGTCTGCTTCACACGAACGGATACAGCAGAGTACTACTACGGAGTACTTCTACTGCTCCCCTTCCTCTCTCTTCTCTCTCACCGCTGCTACTCTCCAGCACTTTTGTTTCATTGCTCCTAGTCTACCTTCTGGTCAGTGGTGTTCGTTCAGCGTTGCCGGACGGGGCTCCGTACTCTTACACCCCTGTTGCTACGCCCCTATCCCGAGGTTGCTGCTGTACCCGGGGCGGATGATTACCGTCTTTCTCCTCCCACCAAACCCTCAGGTCAAGTCAAAGTGTCGACCACCTACGGTGTACCATCGTTTGGGGTCTTCGCGCTGTATCACAGTACCTCTCCTCACAGTCAGGAAACCCCGGAAACCACTTTCCACGGGTACACGTTCCAAAACCCTCGCCAATCATTCTCCGGAGTGTGCGCACTTTATGCACACGTATCCGAGGTATACCCAGGGCCGGCTTTTTCCCAACGTCCCGTCGGCTTAGGTGTCCTGGACTCCCAGACTCCAGAGGTGTCGGCGCGCAAACGCGTCCCAAAACAATAGGACTGTTTCCGCACGACTCACTTCCCGTCTGGTGCTTTTCTATTTTGCACAGGCAACGACAGAGAGCCCTGCCCCGGCCCTGATCCCTGGTTCCAGTGGTCACATCACCCACACCCCGGCCGCGCTGGCCCACCCGTACCTGAATTGCTGCAAGGCGTTCGAGCCACTTGCTGCCACCGACGTGCTGGGTGCTGGGGGGAGAAGAGGGGGGAATGCCCTGGGAGGGAAGTTGATATGCGGGCCTGCTATTTTCTCTTTTTCTGGCGTGTGCCTAGCTTCTCTGATTGTTGTTGCTGTTTAGGTAGTCCTCAGGATGGATGCCAGATGGCACCAGCTGAGGGAAAGGCTCGTACCGATTGGTAACTCCATCGCCCCTGCTTCCGAGTGCGAGTTCGGATCCGAACAGTTCCCTTGGCGGCTTCTTTCTCCGTGCACACTCCCGCATGTTCCTCTCTCGTTTCGTAAGCCAGCAAGTGTGGCTTCTCCCCTTCCTCTCTCTCCCGAGCAGTCCCAAGCAACGCCGGCATGGCCACAGCTTCCTGCACGCTTACCTGATCATCAGAGGAAAAGCTGGGATGGCACCAACCGCCCCTCCTCCCCTCCCCCCCCCCTCTTCCCCCAAGTCCAAAAAAGTACTGGCTGGCAGCCAGTGACGCAGGATAAACAAGAGAATAGACGCCATTTCCCACACCATCTCATCCCCCTTCGTACAGCCTGCCGACTACAGACCAGGGACCAACAAGGCTTCTTAGTCTACACTCGTTGTCCTTCTCCAGGAAAGACAGCAACGATCCCAAAATGGCCGAAACAACTACCGCACCGCAGCCGACGTCGGCGTCTACCTCAACGCCGCTGCCCCGCGTCGCGATCCAGTTCTGCACTCAGTGTAAGTGGATGCTTCGCGCAGCATATGTAAGTACAACCCAGAAGGTACGCGGGGAAAATCTCGCTGCCGGGGTCTCATCTTCAACTTCATGCCTTTCCTAAATTGTAAAACCCTACCTTTGTCTGCCGTACGGTAGGCTACACTTACACAGGTCCTACCTCTAGACGGGAAGGTGACCGTTGATGACCTCATCCTCGGCAACATCCCTGGCACCCTCATCCTCCCCTCCCCTCCCATCCCCTCCGATGGTGCTTGTCCTATCGTCCCCCTTTACTCCGTGATTCAAGTCCATTGTTTGTCCCCTCTACCTACGCAAGATCCAGGTATTCACAACTTGACGAAAACACCTCTCTTACACCTTAAACAGTTCGCCCAAGAGCTCCTATCGACATTCGGAACCTCCATCGGCGAGGTTGCCCTCCAACCCTCCACAGGCGGCACCTTCACCGTGACATTAACTCATCAACCACCCGGCGCGTCAATAACCTCGACAACGACCCTCTGGGATCGCAAGACCGAAGGAGGCTTTCCCGAGACCAAAGAGCTCAAACGCCGTCTCCGAGACGTCATCCAGCCTGACAGAGACCTTGGCCACGTCGACCGCAAACACTCCAAGCCCACGACGACGGCAACGACGACAGAGGCCACAACGACAACACCCACCGCACCCGACACCTCCACCCAACAACCCCCGACCATAGCCTCCGACGCACTCGCCACCGCGCCGACAATGACGATGCCCTCCTCCGCAGCCTCGGACGTGGTCTCCCAACTCAAGAAACATCCGGCCAACGCAGGCCAGCACGCCCCGGCCGCAGACGAAACAAGACCCACCTCCGAGAGCACAGAACAGAGCAACCCCTCCGCACTCAGCGACGCAGCCCGAGACGCCATCGGCGCAGCCCGCGCAAACAAGGGACAACAGGCCAAGGCCGAGATCTCACCCGCGGGCCAACTGCCCGGTCAACAATATGACGATCCGCCGGCCAAGTTCAACAAGGAGAAGTGTGAAGACTGTGCTTGAGTGTCCAAATTCCTACAGATGCAACCCATACCCGGTCTAGCAGGTCCATATAAGGCCTGACCTGGTCTGCTGTAGCCTATGGCCAACACAACCCAGCCTTGTTAGGCCTGGTGCGGGGTTCCGGAGCGCGGGACTGGCCGTGGGTGGCACCCCAAGTCACAGGATCCCAAGTCCGCAAAGGTCGCCTAGACTGCTACCCTTAGGTATTTAAACATATCTCGCAACATCCGTTGTCCAGTGGTTGTAGAAGTTGGGGGCGATTTAAAGGGCAATGGAATGTGAACTGGGATTACTAGCGATGCGGACCTGGGGATCGGCACGGACGGGAACGTCTACGCGGCATCTGGGTGGCACGGGTAGGTATGAAGCGTCTAACTAGACGACACGAAATATGCAACACATAATTACAAGTGCTCTCTTCTTCCTACTCCCATAAACCCACGTCGAATAATGGCAGTGGGAGCTCACAATCGTAACTAAACATAATACATACGCAACCCACGTCATATCCGAGTAAAAGTTGTTCGGTCAAGTTGATCAAATATATAAAGGTTGGCTTTTCATTGCAATCACCAGCCGCAGCATCCTCCTTTGCGACGGCACTCGACGTGAACCTGACCACGCCGGGTCAATCCCACAGGAATGCCTAGAGCGGATTGTTTACAGAGACCATCGACTCGGGGCCGGGTTGTTAGACACCCTCATTCCCAAGATCGTATACACAACAAGTTGTGCAGCGATCTTCTGAACGCATGTCTCAGTGATAGACCTCTGCCGACCATACGCCCTTCTCTCCCAGCGTTACGAAGAAAAGACGAAAAAAAAGACCATAGTCAATGGAGAATAGTACAAGCAAAAAGAGAAGTGAAAAGCAACACTCAACCCCCCCCAAAGATGTTGGCGGATCCCTGTCGTCCGGCCCACGGGCAGTGCCTCCTTTGAAGAATCAGAATACCAACCCCGCGGCTTGCTTCTGCCTCTCCCGAGTAAATTATAGTCTTACAAGTGCCACCACGACATTGAGCTGAGACACGGCCCCCTACGGCCGCGACGCAAGTTCGAGGGCATAAGAGTGGATGTTCATATTCATGTGATCCCCGTGACCACGGTGGATATTGCCAATTGGCGCCTCAGCACGATGACTTTTGGACAAGCCTTTGCGGCAGTGGCGGCTGGGTAGGACAAGTATTCCAACGATGGAACAGTCAATCCAGGCTGCCCTTGATGCGTTATTGGCGTGCAAATCACTCATTATTACAGCCCGGGTGATTTTATGTCCACCGAGGGGCTTCGCATAGAGGCACGTGAGACTGATAGCCATTGCAAATTCCAGTGTTTTTGTGTGTTTATCTTCTGCTACCAGACAGCCGTAATCGTGAACAGTTTGCGCGGGTTGTAGTCGGTGGGTGGGTTCGGGAAGAATCGGACAAGTCGAAGAGTTGACGGAGGGCGACCCAGAGGATCGAGAAAGCGGGAGGACGGTGTGCGGGGGTTGCGAGAGACCCACGTCGGTGGACGGAAAAGTAGAGCGGTCGATATGGGCGGGAGGCAATTAACGACGGCCGAACCTAGAAAGACGTGCATGTTCGTATAAACTCTTAATTTCACTTGGAAGCGGACTTCCGGGGAGAGATGACTGGTCGGCTGTTGCCTCCGAGACCACCAGGGACGTACTTTTGTTTCTTCTCAGCAGGTTTCAGAATCTGTAGGAGAAACTTGTCAGTTACTTGATCGAGACAGTAAAATTTCCATCGCCAAATTCTCACCTGGAACGAGCAGAGCAAGCTCTCGTCGACACTCATCATGGCTCCGGCATTGTCGAATTCTCCGCAGTAGTTCGGTGCGCTGAACAGGGTGACGAGCTGGCGCTTAGAGAAGAATTCGTAGCCGTCTTCCACGACTTGGTGGGCACGGCAGATCAGATCCATGTCGTGCTTCTGGAGGAACCGAGATACAACGTCGGGGCCGAAGGTGAAGGAGACACCTCTGTCGTTTTCGCTCCAGCCTGTGATGTCCTTGTCGGGATCGGACCACAACAGATCGCAGAGAAGACCGCAGTCAGGAATCTGTATTTCGAAGTGTTAGTCAATAAGCAAATCGAGACAGGGCCAGAGCTTGGCCTCGTGAGGGGTGCAAACGTACGTCAGTGGGTCGCATGACACGGCGAATTTGCTCCATGGAGTTCAGATCAGGGCTGAGACCGCCGTGCATGGTGAAGATCTTCTCGTCGATGATAGCGGCGATAGGCAGGCAGTTGAAGCAGTCCGTAAATGTCTTCCATAGCTTGATGTTGTAGCGGCGCTTGCACTCGTCGTAGAAACCGTAGATACGGTTGATGGAGGCGCACTCGTGGTTGCCGCGGAGAATGAAGAAGTTCTCGGGGTACTTGATCTTGTAGGCAAGCAACAAGCAGATGGTCTCGAGGGATTGCTTGCCACGATCGACGTAGTCACCCAAGAAGAGGTAGTTGGCCTCGGGAGGGAAGCCACCGTACTCGAAGAGACGCAGCAAGTCGTAATATTGTCCGTGGATATCACCGCAGATCTGGGTGAGGGGTTGGCGTCAGCAGGTCTGTGCAACTTGGGGAATACAAAGCATAGGAAAGCAGGACGGCCTAGCTAGGCCAGGAGGTTGAGCATACCTTGATGGGAGCCTCAAGCTCAAGAAGAATGGGCTGGGAGATGAAGATCTCACGAGCCTTGGTGCACAGGTAGCGGATCTCGGCCTCGAGAAGCTGCACCTGCTTACCGGGACGGCTTCCACGAACCTCGAGGAGGCGGTCGATTATCGAGTCAAGGTCGACCTCATGTTGGTCCGCCATCTTTAATCCTCACCAGCCAGAAAGATGGCCCGCTTGTACCGAGGGGATTGTTCGCGACTGCGGCAAGCAAAAGCACTGGGGGGGTATATACTTTGCAGCGGCCAGAGACAAAGAATGCCCAGATTACGGGAACGATGCACTTCTCGTGTCTGCTCAGAAAAACGCGTGGTCAGTAAGCCGCAAGACAGCAAGATGTTTGTTTTGGCGGCTTTGTTTGGGAAGCGCGCGGTGAGGTTGAGGGCAACGTGGTGGTGGTGAGCGGGCAGGAGAGGGGAAGCGCGAGCGGGACAGGGCGAAAGACTTACGGCGAAGTGATCTCAGCTCTTGTAGGCCTTTCTTTCCTGGGAAGAGAAAGCGACGACAGAAATGGTCGACGTTATCGAATTATTCGCAGACCAGAGAGTGTGGTAGCGTCTCGCGTCGTCGTTGAGAAAATTTTCGTCGTCCCTGTGCGGGATCGAGTTCGCCTGTATGGGGTGGGATTCGCCGCTGGAGATAGGGCCGTCTGTTGATAGCTTCGCCTTTTTTTCAGCAGGTGCCGCTCTTGCCGTTTACAGCGATGCGGAGTTCGTCTGTTTGATTGATCGTCGTTGTTTTGATCGTGTTGAAGAGATGGAAATCTCTAGATCGCGTTGTCGTCTTGAATAGACGTGTCGTCGCCGTTGGGTCAAGAGGTGGCCTCGTGGGGGAAAAAGAAGGCTTTGGGGGGAGGGAGAGGTGAGGGTGGGTTTGAGGGGAGGATTTTCGTGTTTTGTGTTGGGCGGCGGCGGGCTGCTCGGTCGGAAAGGCAGGAGTCGGCAGGAGGAGCGCAGAAAATGGGAGGCAGAGAGAGAAAGGTGTGGAGGGATTGGTCTGCTCTGCGGCCTGCCTGTGTCTGGGTGAGAAAAGCGTGAGGGGGGTCGCTCGTACTACAGGGGGGGAGGCTAAAGAGGGATAGTGCTATGGGCACTAAGTGATCGCTGATGGGTGTGGGTGGTGTAGATATTATGGGCTCCCGGAGCGTTAAAAAAAAAAAAAAAAAGGCAGGACGGGCAAAAAAAAAATAGATGCCAAACCAAGAGGCGACAGAGAAATTTAAATTGCCTTTGAGGTGAATTTGCACTTTGTACGAATATCAATCAAGGATGCAAGAGAGAAAAAATGAGGTTGCGGGTGTTACGCCTGCTTATGCTGTTTTTTCCCACCCCCCACTTCTGTTCGTGTTTTTACTCCTTCTCTATAGCTATCTCTTAAGGACGGACAAGCGGCTTCGAAATATGAAAGTGAAAAGCGAAGCCGAGGATCAAGATCAGGAATGAGGCAGGGTGGAGGACGAAGAGGAAAAAAAAAATAAAGAGAGGGAGATCTGGACGGGATAAAATTGGGGTCACAGCAATGGTCTCGACTTTTTTTTTTATCAGTCCCCGTCTAATCCGTATCTACGTTTCTTTTTTCTCGCGCCTGCCAACTAGGTAGATGCTGCTTCGAGTACGCGCACCGCTCCACGTCCTCCCGCCTGCGAAGGTAAAGGTGCCCTCCCACCATCAGGTAAGCAAACACACCAGCGAGAAAGTGAAGGTGTGGTGTTTTGGAGTGTGCCGCCGGTTGGATTGGCACATCTTGTGCATCACTCCGTCGCTGCTTCGCTGCATCAGCAAGCGCCTCCCGTTGCCCGTTTCTCAGCACGCCAGTCGCCAGCCCGTCGACCAGTCAGGGGAGCTTCAGGTTGGGCAGGAGTGGCAGGCACGTTTTTCTCGGCGACGGGAGGAATGGGAAAACGCGACCCAGGCGTGCGCAAGGTACTGGTAGTCTGGTAGGGTAGCTGCGGCAGGGGTGCCTGCCTGCCCTTGGATTTTGATCGTGCTTTCCTTGCCTGGGCTCTTACCTTACCCGTCACGCCGGCCACGGCAACCACGAAGTACCTACCTAAGGTACCTTACCAGGCTTACCTGCCTCACTTTGGATCAGACACACTGCCCTGGATGGATTTTGATATCTTACCCAACCAAGTACCTTAAGGTAGGGAGTAAGGCATATATAGACATTCACCTTGCCTACCTTACCCATCTACCGGGCCTTCAAGGCCAGCCAAGGCCCTCGTGTCTTTTCTCACTGAAGCTAGGGGGGGTGCCGTGGATGACAAGAACAACACCATGAACGGCAATTCATGGGTGCTTCTGAGAGGTGCTCCCCACGGATACTGAATGTGCCATGGCATTGTCCCTCAAGTACCAATCTGGGGCATTGCCCACCCGTGGAACACTGAGCACGGAGTACAAATCCACGACCCAGCGGCAAGGGTCAGCCACAGGGGCCTCATCGAGCCTGAAAGCTTGCTTAAGTTGAGGCTCCCAAGTGGGTGACAGAATAGGATGCCGCCCAACGCACAAGCGACCCCTTCTTATAACCACTAGCATTTTTATTATCACCATACTGCGCTTTCTTAGGTAAATTCTCTAAGAGATGCATGGAAGAAAAAAGTAAGATGAGTGATAAGAGTGATAGCAGTAGCAGCAGTAAT